TATGTCTTGGGTAGGGGGTCCACCATAAGGAAATCCTCTCTCAGAGTAAATTGCTTCACATTCCCCGCCCACTTACTGAGAGCCTGATTATCCCTAAGTTTTCATTCCTTTCAGCTGAGAAATCGTGTATAATGGCCTAGCCGGTGTAGTCATCCGATCGACAGTAAGACTTAGTTTGTGAAAAACTTGATTAAAAATCATATATATTGAGCTCCTTGTATTGATGAGAACTCTATCTACATGATAATTATTAATTATAGATGTTATCACAATAACATCATTATAAGGATTTCCCTTCAATGGCAGATCCTCATTGATGAAGTAGATAGGAGGGTGACCCATGGGTTTTGGGGGCAAAGATCGTAGTGTATAGTTTTGTTGTTTGTTACCTTTTTTGGCTCATCCTTCTAGTTGGTTCAGTTCTTCCAAATATGGTGGGCACGTATCCTGCAATGTGGATGGCATTTGTGAGGGTAAATCTGTCAGTCGTTCTCCCGTGGGAGCTTTGCCCTGTCTCTGGGTATTGACCCCAGGGGTGACAAATTCTTTCAGCTTCCCTTCTTTTATCAAATTTCAGTTAAGCTATGGAGGTGTCTGCATTTCTCTATATCGTGTATGTGGTTTTTGTGGTACTTGTAATATTTCTTGCTATCTTGAAGAAAGGCTCTGGTTCTCATTTGTGGATCCTTCCTAAATAATTCCTTATCTTGAATGATGTCCACTATTTCTTTCATAGACACCCTTAATGGGGTTCCGTGGATGTATCGTGGTAATTCATGGTCTTGGGATGAGCAGTGGTGATGGGCTTTCATCTGCATCTTCTGATTCTCGTGATGATGTATAGAGTTGTTGTTGGAATGATTTTCATAGCTTGGGCGGATGATTGGTCGTATATTTTGTTTGGGTTACTTTTTGTTATCATGTGGCGGCCTCTTCTGGTGTATCTGTTTGACAGTCTCTGGGGCATTTTCATAGGAAACAATATACTTATTAGCCATCTCTAATAGTTCATCCAAACTCTATGGTTTTGCGAGGTCGAGGTCAAACAAGAATCTCTTCGACCTCTCTCCCTGTGTTAGCGTGGCCTAGGCCATGTCAGGCTTCAAGTCTTTCACATCTAATGTTTCCCATTGGAACTGTATAATAAATAATCGTAAGCTCTCAATAACTCATTGTTTTAGTTGGCATAAAGATCAGGCGCTCTTTTTTCAGTCTTAGAGCCCTGACAAACTGAGATAGAAAAAACCTCTTGAATTCCATAAAATAGGTGATTACCCCTTGGTAGGCCGTCGAACCATCTTAGTGCAAATAATCTCAACGTGGTGAAGAATAGTTTACATTTGAGAGTGTTAGAGATTTTAAGCAAACATATGGAAGCTTCAAACGACGTGAGGTGGTCATTAGGGTTCGAATGCTCTTTGTATGGCTCTAAGGCGAGGATTTTAAATTTCTCCAAGGGTCCAGCTCCCGATACCTATAGCAAGATGGACTGCCACTACACTTTGATTCGCATTGTTCGATTCCTCTCCTCAGGTGCAAATCCGACACTATCTTAATATAACCCATCATTCTGCTGTAGGTGGATTGTTCTTCTCTCATTTTTTGTTGGTGGTTCCCATTGAGGGGGGTTAAGTGCTTCTTGTCGGGCTGGTCCTCCTTGGACTGGAGCCACCGCCAGGGCAGCGACCGCTCTGAGCACCTTCGCAAACTGTCATGACATCTAGTTTGTGATTGAGTTCTCAACCCATGCAAACCTTACTTGACAAATTCTTCCATGAACTCCCTAGTGCATGATGCTTCTACCACATTCCTCTAACTGGATTCTCCATGTTGTTGTTGTTGAGCTCTTCTTCTTATTGACGACATGTTTTTACACTCACCGTAGCTTAAGGGAGATTGAATCCTAAAGTGTTCAAAAAACAGACCCAAGGTATAGAACTTCTTAGCAGGGGGAGGTGAGAACAAATACATTAGAGAGCAATAAAGAGTGCATAATCCCTTATTTATGATATGGACACCTTTTTATAGAATTAGGTCTCAGTCATATAAAATTACAGATCATTCCATCATCATTAGCTTTTAAATGAGGGTTTTTAGTAATTATAAAGATACTTAAATATAAAAAGACTAGCGAACTAATTTGGCCAGTAAGATGTTTGTCGACCGCTCTCCTTGCTTTGACTGTATCGGCACTTGTCGATCGGTCTGAAAGCTCATCGTCATCTTGTGGGAAACACTGGTACATTCTTCTGGTCTTTCGATCCAAATGTCTTCTTTGCTAGCATCCGATCGATAGTACCGTTCTTATGAACTGTTCGTTTGTTTTGAGATTTGTGCTTACATATTTTTTAATACAACTATAGTCTCGTGAATCCTCAGCTTTCTAGTTTCTAACCAATTATTTAGCTTACCGCGTTATGTTTAACATAAAAATATTTATTTGTGCATGGTTGTTGAATTTTTTGGGAGGTAGGATCCTGTATAATTTGTAAACACATACAATTCAGAAGAGATCTTGAAAAAAAAGTGAAAAGAAGCAGGATTGAGAGAGTCAGAAAAAAGAGCATTCTCCTCTTCTTTCATTTCTTCTTATTTATATACTCAGGAGCCTATATATCTGCTCTAGGGCTGTAAACGAGCAAAGCTTGAGCGAGCTCAGACTTGTCTTGTGTTCGGCTCGTTTGAAATTGTTCGTGTTCGAAATCAGCTCGTGTTAAAAAACGGCTCATGAACAGTGTGTTCGTGTTCGACTCAATTTAAATATTCATGTTCATGTTCAGCTCGAAATTGACTCGTTGAAATTAAACTAAAAAAATAGATGTAAAGTGCTAGATTCGAACCTGAACCAAATGTATGCAAAATAAGACGCATAACTACGTTACCACAAGAGCAATTACATTTTAAACTTAAATATA